TAATGGTCCATCAGGTTCCCCATCAAAGGGCCCATGTCTGTGAGAGTGAGATTGGAGACACCTGCCTTGCATTCTCTTTGCACTTGTTCTCTCCTCTTGGCATTTTGCCCACGGATGACAAGGTAAGATGCCGTTTCCAGCTCTTTTGAGTTGTTCTGAGTGATGCCTTGATCCAGCTGGTTTGCTCTCGTTCTTAAAGAGAAAATCCTAGGAAAAAAACAAAGACTGTGAATGCAGAGCTTGGGTTTTGCTGGGTTGCTATTTGTTCCATTGGTTTTGAAGCAGGACTTCAAGTGCTTTGTTAATAGATTTAGCTGTTGGTCTCATTTTCCTTTGTTCCAGGTAACTGCCAATAAAATACTATTTCATAGTGCTATGCCTTCAGCAAATGAATTACCCAGCACCTCCTAAATCAGTCCCCAAGTAGCAGTTTGTTGTCCTTTGTGGACAGTAGAAAGACCTGCTTTTCAGACACTGCATTAAAGAGAAAACCCCTGTGCTGTCTACCTCTTTCCAGGGGAGGTCTGAACTGAAAATTTGCTCCCAGACTCTGAGCAATAACAGAAATGAATCTTTGAAAGGCAGAATCAGCTGATGATTCTGTAAGCAGGCTTTTCAGTTAAGAGGATGAAGACATCTCCCTCTAAACTCCCTGGATGCCCCATGAGGCTGGGGCTGCTATGATGGCAGAGGTTTCAGTGACTCAAAACACTCCTCATCTGTCTCATAGGTTGAAAGAGGAAAGGAAGAACCAAGGCCATTCTTAGGGTGTCTGCTGCCAGCTCCACAAAAAGGCACTGAGACTGGCCTCAAAGGATGTTACCTGCTGCCCTTCACAGGTGACAATGGCTGGTAAAGTGGCAAAGCATCTGGAGGAGGAACTATCAGCCATTGTAATTATGCAGCGAAGTGGTTCACCTAGTGAACAGAAGGATGGAAATCAGGTGCAATGGGGGCTGGGGTGCAGGAAAGATGGGGAGGAAGTTGAGTGAAGAGTTGTGGCTGTAACTTTGTGACAGTATTTCTCAAATGTAAGCATAGGCCTGGTTTTCTGGCAGTGTCATGGGGAACTCTGGATTCAAGGATACCTTCATGCTGCCCAGCTTGAGAGGGACAGTCTGAGAAAGCTACAACAAAGTGAAAGGCTGCACTGGAAATACTGAAAACCCCTTTCCCCCTTTTGTGGGAAAGGAGAGGGGAGAATGATCTAACTGGAGAAGTCTCTGACTTGTGCGATGTCCTAAAGCCATGTCTCATAACACAAACACAGGATGAAGGAAGACCCTCAAAAAGACTACAGTGAAGCAGAATGAATGAGAATAGTCTGCAGCCATTGTGCTGAGGGACTCTGCCTCAGTGTTCTTTGGACTTAAATTACCCTCCCAGTTCCAGCCTCACCTGGTGGGGTGAGGTGAAGTGACCTGTGCAGGGTCAACGAGGGAAAGTGGGACAAACTAGAGAAAACTCAGTCTGCCTCCCTGCCCCTTGATCTTTAGACCAGCATCCCCTGCTCTGCTGACAGCAGAAGATTTGTTTCTCTGCCACGCTGTGAGGTATCAGCACAAAATTTCCAGTGTTTTTTCTTCCCTTCACCAGTTTCAGCCACCCTGAAGCACTATGTGTGTGCATGCATCTTCAGCTCTCTGTCTTCAGCTGGTCAGGGCTGTTGCTGGTCCTGCGAGGCCACCATCTGCCTGCAGTTCTGTTCCTGTTGACATCTTCATTGCAAGGAAACCAGCTGTGAGGAGGGGCCAGTGCCAGCCAGGCCCAGGATGCCAACCTGGCAGCAAACAGCCCTAGCCAGACAGCTGGCGCTGTGCAGGCGGCGCGGCTCAGGAGCGGTGGCCGGCAGGAGCCAGCCTCCCCAGCCCCTCAGATGGTAGGCTGTGAATGGGAGGGTAGGGGGGCTAGTCAGGAATCAAAGAGAAATGTCCTACTGATTGATGGCCCTCATTTGCACATGAAACTGGGACCTCTCAGCCCTGCAGGCTCTGCACGTGTGTCTCAGCTGCTGTAACTGGGGCTTGGAGAGGAGGAGGTAACCAAGGAGGAAAAAAAAAGATCACTTCCAGCTCTGGACAACATAACTGTTTTCATTTAAGTGTCCTACGTCTGATTCTTGCTTGCCTTTACAGTTCCTAGAAGTTCGTTGCTTTTCTTTTTTCCTTTTTTTTTTTTTTTTAATTGCAGGTGAGGCAGAGCACCCAGGATTATGGCAACTTCTTCCACCTTCTTCTCTCCTTTCCTTTTCCTGTGTGTGCTGGTTCTTTCCGACATCAGTCTTGCAGTCTCCCTGGACCCTGGCACAAAGATCAAAAATGTCCCAGAGAACAACAACCATCTTCAAAACCAAGAGATGTGGATGCAGCAGCCCAGAAATGGGCACCACCACAAGCATGGCTTGGCCAAGAAGGAGAGGGTCCATGCCATGTCTTCTAGAGGGCAGCTGGCTGGGGAAGAGGCCCTCAGAATGGGTAGCGGAGGTCCAGCTGTGGAAGAGCTGGCAGCAGAGGGACAGCCAGCAGCCCTGAAACTGAACAAGGATGTGTTCCTGGGTTTTGAGTTCCCATATCCTGAGAGGGAGAACCAGTCCCCTGGGTCTGAGAGAGGAAAGAAGCAGAACCGAGAGCATCGGCGACACAGCCGTAGGGACAGGCTGAAACACCACAGAGGTATTTGAGCTCCAAGCGAAGCTGAAGCTGTTGGGCCACTTGAAATGTGTCACTTGTGTGAGGGCAAGGAGATGTAGCTGTGGTTGAGCCACATGGGTGTGTGGAGGGTGTGGGATGTGTGCCTGCTCTGGGGAGAAATCTGCCAAACAAAAGAGGCACAAGAAAAAAGGGGAACTCCAGAACCAGAGGTTTTTACTGCTGGCTGCAGTTTTGTGAAAATGACCTGGTTTGCCTTACAGGGGGAGCTCTGAATGTTCCTAGGACTTGAGGGGTTGTTTTGGGGTGGCCTGCTTTGTTTTGCTTTTTTAGCAAATGGTTCAATTTAATAACAAACATTTCCAAGCCATGCTCAGTCTCTCCACTGACTTTGAAACATGACCAGAACTAGAAATAATACAAAACCCCTACTTTGCTTGAAGATCAGTTTCTTCTCATCAGAGCTTGTATTCTGTATTTATGCTGAACTATAAAAAATAGAAATTTTGCATATGTGAACTTGCACTAATTACTTTAAAATGTTGCTTGTTTTTGACTTGGATTACTTCCTTTGCAGGTCAAGTTGTGAGTGTGTGTTTCTGTGGTATGGTATACTCAGTGCAAAAAACCTTTAGTTCTGTTAAAGCCAGGCAATTTGTGCCAACCTACTCTTATTTGACAAGCTGGGTATCAGTATCCCTGAGTTCCAGCTATCACTCCTCCCTGAATCAGTAAGAAGAGCTCTATTGTTTTCTCAGGGGACTGACTAAACAACTCAGGTTAAACAACATAGAAGAGTATACAACAAAGATGGTTTGAAGCGATATCCACAGACTACAAAACAGGCCTTGTTTCTTTGGTTTAATTTAAGGTCTATATTTTAAATTAATACTTAGGAAAAGCAGGGATCAGGCTGTGAAAATATTCTTATTTCAAGTTACGTGGGTCCTGACTTGAACTAAATTGGAATAACCCACTACTAAAATTGACCAAGATTGCATTCACAGGTATTTGCATCAGCTTCATCCATTGGTTTAAAAATGGTAAAATGGGTATATTTTGTACTTTTGAGACCAGAAGAAGAAATCCTTTGCTGCTTAAGCAAGAGAGAGACATATCTTTAAGAAGGTGTGATTATGTATGACTTAAGTGTGTGCAAATGAAGATGCATTTACTCTGGACCAGATCTATCACTTTAATTTAATAGCATGTGACTCTGTTTTACACTGGTCTAAACAGCAGCTCAGGGTGGTAGAACACTGGCCAGTGGCTGGATGAAATCTGAATTCCTTTGACTCAAATCTGTGTCACACAGAGAGAAAAGGGATGAGAAAGCTAATGTTACTGTACCTGTTGCCCTCTGCAGGGAAGACTCCTGATGCTGGGCCAAGCTCCTTGTACAAGAAACCCGAAAGCTTTGAAGAACAGTTTCAAAACCTCCAGGCACAAGAAGCTACAAGTCTGACTCCCACCATGTTTCTCATCACTGCACTTGAACTTGGCGTTTCCACAGAAGAGCCTCCTGTTCTTCCAGCCACATCACCACGGTCACAGGTAAAGAGACAGCTGGTAACTCTGCACTGTACCTTGACGCAGACAGAAATCTCCTGCAGATAAGGTCCAGTTTCTTTTTTTTCTTTGTTTTTTGACAGTTAGAGGTAAGTGCTTGCTTAACACCCAAGCCCTCCCTGAAAAGCAACTCTCTGTCTTGGAGACATCTAAGTATCTCTTCTTCATAAACGGTTCCTTTAGTTGCTTCTCTTCCCTGCCCTACCTCTCCCTTAGCTAGCCATCTTCCTTCAGCTTCAAGGACCAGAGAGGCAGTAGGAGCACTTGGCTGGAGAGGCAGCATGTCCTAATGCGCCTTGCTCGCCTTTTGTCCTCACACAGAAGTAGTGGAAACTTCCCTCTTGGCTTGAGCTGCAACAAGGGAAAGCTCTTCCCTTTTGAAAATGAAATGCCAAGAATCCCCAATGGACAAGATAGGAGTGGAGGTGGGGGGAAATCATAAAGCCTTTTTAAGGTCTAAAAACACCAGGAAAATTTGCAAAGACTTCGGTGTCACTACAGAAGTGTAATCCATTGTCTCTTTGGTTTCTTGTGGTTTGCAGGCCCGTCTCAGGCAAGATGGGGATGTGATGCCCACCCTAGATATGGCACTCTTTGACTGGACAGATTATGAGGATCTCAAACCAGAAATGTGGCCATCTGCTAAAAAGAAAGGTGCTAAATCTCCCTGTTCTCTTTCCCAAAAGTAAGGCTTGTCATTCTGTAAGGCTTGTCCTATGGTTAGTGTTCACAGATGTGCTGAAGGATGTGAGATCGTAGTGGTGGGGAAAGAGAGAAAAAGTGTAATACTGATTGTGTTTTGTGCTCATTTTCAGAATGTTTCTCATTTTGGATGCGTAGTTTGAGGGCAGAGGAAAAATGATAGGTGGAGGGTTGAGAAATAGGGAGGATCACAGAATCACAGAATCACTAAGGTTGGAAAGGACCTTCAAGATCATCAAGTCCAACCATTAATCCAGCGCCACCATGTCCCCTAAACCATGTCCCGAAGCACCACATCCACACGTTTTTTGAACACTTCCAGAGATGGTGACTCCACCACCTCCCTGGGCAGCCTGTTCCAATGCTTGACCACCCTCTCGGTGAAGAAATTTTTCCTCATATCCAGTCTAAACCTTCCCTGGCACAACTTGAGGCCATTTCCTCTCATCCTATCACTAGTTACTTGGGAGAAGAGACCAACACCCTCGTCGCCACAACCCCCTTTCAAGTAGTTGTAGAGAGTGATGAGGTCTCTCCTCAGCCTCCTCTTCTCCAGACTAAACAACCCCGGTTCCCTCAGCCGCTCCCCATAAGACTTGTGCTCCAGACCCCTCACCAGCTCCGTTGCCCTTCTCTGGACACGGTCAAGCACCTCAGCATCCTTCTTGTAGTGAGGGCTGAACACAGTATTCAAGGTGCGGCCTCACCAGTGCCGAGTACAGGGGCACAATCACTCCCCTACTCCTGCTCGCCACAGTATTTCTCATACAGGCCAGGATGCTGTTGGC